TTTGGTGACCCCGAAGCGAATGGTAGCACAATTTTCTCAGAGATGACAATAATGACCTCAGCCGTGCCCCCAGCAGCTGCAGCACGGTAACCTCGAAAAGAAAGTTAATCGGGGTTGGCCGGAGCAATGTCTAACTGCTGGCCAGAGCAACGGTTGATGCGGTAGTGCCGTAAGAGCGCCTTGTTGTTCATCCATCTGTTTCAAGTTCTAAGAGCGCAATGACAAGCGCCAATACTGAGAATCCTGCTGACCTCTTGTAGTGGATTAGTGTAATTGTCGTGGGTAAAATGAAATCTGGCTCATCGGCTGTCTCTCCAATATGTTTCTCATTGCGAGGCTCTGGTTGTTGTTCTGTTGATATCTAGAGATGTGCTGCATTGCATCGATCTTACATCGATATAAACCAAAATGCTGCACTACCGTTGACGTTTAATTTCCTGGAAGTCTTCTTATCGGGAATTTATCTGGAGAGGAGCAAATGCTCGAAACAATATAAAATCAGCAGTATCAGTGCCATAATATCAGTGAGCCATTGGGGCCAAATTCGGAACAGCCCTCAGTCACTAGCTCGATATCTCCTTCTATATTCCTCCAGTTTCTCCATGTCCTCTTTTTTCCCCTGGGCCTCCACTAAAGTGATTAGATCCTGCAGCGTGACGATACTTGCTGTTGGGATGCCAAATTCTTGTTTAAGTTGGCCCATAGCACTCATCCTGGGTTCCTCATCATCTTCCCCATCTTTTGATCCCGGCATTTTCTCTTGTCGGTTGAGGGCAACTACAAAACCCACTACCTTTCCACCTTCCATGTCTACCAGCCTTAAAGTTTCTCGCATTGCAGTGCCAGCCGTGATCACATCATCAATAACAAGGACATTTTTCCCCTTTAGCGGGGCACCCACGATATTTCCCCCTTCTCCATGGTCTTTGACTTCTTTCCGATTGAAGCTGTAGGAGACGGACGACCAAGTGTCAGGGTCAATGCGGTTTAGTTCAAGGAGAGTTGAGCATGCAAAGGGGATCCCCTTGTAAGCAGGGCTTGGAAATATTTCCAGTTAGTGACATTATGTCATTCGATCTCGAGCAGGAATCATGCGCTTACCCGAAGATTACATCGGGTTTCGGAATCGAAGGGTTGGAGGAGAGGAAAGAGATGATGGTTTTGGCATAAGCCGTAGAGATTGCGGAAAGGAGTGACGAGGTATGGAATAGACCGGCATTGAAGAAGTAAGGCGATTCTGGAATCATATGGTCAATAACAATGGAGTAGGGGATGTTAGAAAGGCATGTAAGTACTTCGACCAGATTTCAATGTGAAATCTCCAAAGTTCAAGACATCAGCAGAGAGACAGGATTCCAGGAAGGCAGTTTTGTAGACAGGAAGCGGAGTGTTTGCCAGCTGTGTGGAGGTCATTGTTGTAACGACTGCAGCTGCGTCCTTCGCAAGATCGAGACGTTATAGCCAGTGTTGGAGAAATTGTGTTAGTGAGCGATCGAGGGGGCGCGGGAGGAAAAGATTTAGTTAGGATGGTTAAAACTAGTTACCTAACGTAATCAACCACCTATTCGGCCACTTCCGCCACCATCATACACTTTTACAGCTGGATTTCACAACAACTCTATAGAATATTAAGCTAAATACATTATGGACTATTCCCAGCATGATGTGGGCATGTACAAATAGTATTGTCCTATAGTACCACAGTCACTACACTGAAGTGCGGCACTCTTTCATGGCTGCTCCTCAGGTTGTTCAATAACCTCCCCTTCCAACCCTTTGCCCCTTTGTATGTGATTCATCCCTTCTTCAATGGTCAGGCCCTCTCCCTGGCTTATATATGTACCACACCTCTTTCACTTTTGCTTTCATTCTGCATTTGCAGTCTCCAGTTCCTTGTTTTCCCTTATCAGAATGGCAGCACTTTGCACGGCCATCTGGCATCCCTTGACCAGCAGATTCAAGGCTTGATTAATTGAGCTGAGTGAAATCTGTGTGGAGTGCTTGAGATATCTTTTGATTTCCTCAGTCTGCTGCTTCAACTCTCGTACGGTATGTGATGTGGCAGGGGCCCAGGAGGCTTGAGAACTATGAGAGGTTCCAGGAGGTGATGGGGTATGTATCTGAGTGTTGAGGCAGGAGAGAACTTGATCTAGATTGTATGGAACCAGTCCAGTAGCTTTAAAACCACTCTGGACATTCTTTCACTCAAGTCTGCTATACAGAGAGAAGGATACATAGTTAAAAAAATTTATTCTTGTCAATGTGATTGATATCAAATCTCATTCTCTTCTCAATCTCATGTCACTTGCTTCAAGGGAGAGAAACAGCCCACATCCAATGACTGTAGAAGATGAGAGGAATGAGATGGTATATAAAGAGGAATAATCATATTCTCAGTGCAAAACTGATCAAACTCAGGCTCATTATGACTGTGATGTCCATCCAGTCAAGAGTTGATATCAGCTAATTGTACAAGCTTGAGTATGCTTATTGAATATCTCTTTAAGCCAGATCAATCCCGGCTTCTTAGTTGCCCATTCATTCTCACTGACTTCAATCCTCCAGTCATGTGGCAGCCCATTTTCATATCAGGAAGTTTGATGAAGCTTCCCTTAAGAATGATCATTGAAGATAATGCCCAGCCAGTTGCACTGACTCACTCAACAATAGTGACTCATTCTGTATTCCCAGACTGTATAAGTTTTGGACGAAGGGTTTTCTCTCACCTAGTAATCGCCTCAGCTGTCTCAATAACTCTCATCTCAAACTCAGTCTCATCAAAGTTGTATATGTTCTCCTGTGTGATCTTATACTTCCGGATAGTATTTTGTACAAGCTCAAATAATTCTTGAATAACCTTGGGATCTCCATACAGGGCTCATTGATGATCATATAATTGAGAGAATCAGGATTTCAACTCAAGGCTAGCAGTTGATAAATCAATTAACTCAGTTAATGCCAACAGTTGATGAAGTTGCAGACCTGTCTTAGTTGGAGAGAAGAAGATTAACTGTTTCTCATACAGTGACTCAGCCCAGGGGGCTCTCATTCATCTATAGATGATATCCACTGGACAAGGACTGATTCCTCTGTAGAGGCCAGTTTTTGATTGCTGAACTGAGAATCTTTTTGAGTCATACAATCATTCAATATCATACATTCAAGCAGCAGCTCGGACACTTGAAACTTGATCATTTTCTAAAGCTTTAATAGCCAAAAGAATTCTGCCCTCTTGATAGGAAGCTTTATCCACTTTGATGGTTGGCATTTTAGCTGATTGGACTTTTGGACGCGTCGCATAGGCCGGTCAGATAGTTATGTGTTCCGACATAGTTAAGCAGCTCTGATAAGATGATTTCTTGGGACTGCAAAAAAGTGCCCATCCTAATCCTCAGTAAGCAACAACGCCAAAATAGTGGTCTGATTGGCTCATATCAGCAGAGGTGCATCGGAGGGGTGATGGATCGGTTGGAGCTGAGTGAACCAAACCGTCCAGTGGAATCACCATTAACGACTCCGCACTTGGAAAAAGAAAATATAGATCGATCCAAATTCGTTGGATCCTCGAATGAGGGTGCTCTCCATCTGTTCTTCATCCTTTCACAACCAGGGCAGAGAATAAGTTATCCAGATAGCCGGTTGTCTGTTTGAATTATTCATTTGAATGTCCAGATTTTGTGCAACATGGCGAAACTTGGACTTTCAAAAGGCTTGGTGCGATGTTGGTAATCCCTATTTCCCCCCTCCAATACCGGGAATTTCGGAGTTAGTTGCTAACAGGTTGAACTTCATGTTAGATATCCCTCTAATTGGGTATCATCATGTTTTGATGATATTTCTTCTTATCCCAATCATATTTTTATGTAAGAGTTTCGCCTCCTCCGTTCTCATCCTGCCTGGCACAGCGCATTAGAAGGGATGTTTAATATTTTTGTCTGTTGTATTACAGCAATTCTTGTTGCCGGATGTTCAAATTCTGCTCTCGCCAATGTATATTTAATATCGCTATCATACACCGGCAATATAACCTCGTCGCCCCTACAGAATGCCAACCCAGCCAGACTCAATCCAAGTATGCCAGCAATACTTGCGAATTTGTCTTCTGGGATTAACAGGAATGCGACTTCATTGGAAATACGTACCGGATACTTGGGTCATTGCATGAAGCAAAACTCAGGGCTCTGGATCTGTGCTCGGAATGCGGAAGCTCTTGCAAATGCCATCAGAGATCAAAAAGCATCAGATGCTGACCCCCTGAATCTGCTTTACATGTCCAAGGCGTTCAAGGACCAAATGGTTTTTAGTGGGTTGATGTAGGCACTATCCCTAGCATTTCGGAGAATAATTGGTGCTGTTCTTTTATCCTTCCGTCGGAGAATCTGCTAATTAGTCACTAGATTTGCATCGATTCCGTTTGTATTTATTTGCTTCCTACTTCTCTCCACATTTCCTGGCTGGCACGAGAAATTATATTCGAGCGGCAGCGAGCAGGAAGTCAGACCATTTCCGTCAAGGCTAGTGTCTCAGCTTGCTACGGTCCTTGTGGGCCTTGCCTCGCTTCTAATATTTGTATCAGTGTTTTGGCAGCATATATCGAGCGCTGCGGGCGTAACAATGGGTGAAGAGCTCAATTATGGAGCAGTTGACGGTCACATTGGAGTTGTCTCTATGGTTTTGGGATGGGGTGGAGTTATTGGAACTGCTCTTGTCTTTTTAGGCCTAATTATTATGCTCATGAGTATCTCAATTGTATCCAAACTCATAGATTTGTGATATTCCGGGGGTGTGTCCTTGCTTCGTTCTAGTTTCCTGCCTTCCTTTCTTCCTTTCCTTTATTTATTTTTCATATCCCTTGATTTGGGCATAGAAAATTCTACGGAAACTTTGGGTGCTCTCGTGGTGTTTTCAGTTCGAACGATTTTGAGCCAGCTGAGTCAGTCTATGAGGTGCTTTAGCAATTAAGGGACAGGCAAAGTTCGTACGTAAATTAAATTCATGATTTACCACGAGGATGGTGAATAGCTGTCCCTAGTTGTTCCAAACGCCTTTTTGTTAAATAGCCGGTATATACCGCGAACTGCAAAGCAAATGAGAGCCAGCAGAACGATAAAGACAGTTACAGCAACTTTCATTCCCGGAGCAGTACCTCTTGTCCAAATCACAGAAAGAAGAATCACCATCAGGACAATAATAGAAACGCCCGTCGCAGTTGGTTTGCCATAAGCCTTCAAAAACCTCGCAATCCGATCTTGGTTCAACGCAATAAGAATGAAGGGAATAGATATCGCTCCGGAGATGCTAACTATTAAAAATGTTAGATCCAGGGGCGAATATAAAATGAATGTCGTTGCTTACACATATATCTTAACACGTAATCCATTGGCAGCTTGCCTCCTGTGTTCCATGGAAACGCATCGAGATTAATAGCAAAGAACGCAGCCATAAACGATAATGGAAGCTATATTTAAGGCATATCAATTTCCAGATACATCCAGAGAAACGAACAGGGATCTCACAAATATAATAGTCACCACTGTGAAAACCAGCACAGTCCTTCCTTGACGTATGCTTTCATCTGCTTGCTTGCGGGCGAGGTTAGCATTCTCCAGTCCCCTTTCGGTAAGCTCAGTGGTTGCTTTAGCTTGATCTGAAGCAGTTTCTGCCTGTTTACGTGCGGAGAGGGCCTCCGAGACGTTGTTTTGTTTTTGTTTCAAGTCAAGAAGGTTATAGAGCTGCGAAATGTTAGCATGGGGACGAATTTTGCGGGCTTCTATTCACTTACTGCTTTGTATGTCTGATTCGCGAGTTTCTGCATCTTCTCCACTCGGTATAAATGGTTCTCAAGCACTGGATATCGAATTGACGAGGAGTTTTCATCATTGATACTTCCATTTTTGATTTTCTTGTGTTCCGCAAAAAGCTTGGAAAAGTCTTCTGCAGGTTTTGCTTGATCACTTAAGATCATGTGCAAAATTCCAAGTTCGTCGATGATATCCTTGACTTCAACTAACAGTTTTGTTTCATTACTGATGGAGAAAACTTCTGAGCTAGCAATTGAACCAGAGCTTGTTTTGGCGAGTCTAGTTGCAAATGCCTCAAAACATTGGGTTTCTTTATCAATCTGTTTTATACAGTCAGTACCGCCCCGCGTTTGTTAAAGATGAGCAAGAAACTGACCACAGCACCAATGGAACGTTCGAAAAAGTCAAAAAACTGATACTCATCTGGAACTCGATATTGATCAAATAAACCTATACAAAATTCCGTGATCAAATGCGCTAAGTCGTGCGCTGACGTAAGTGGATCTCGCGTCTTGAGTCCGATATGACTAAGTATCATCTGGTGGACGTTCAAAGGGTCTCGTTTGAGTAATGCTAAACGTCTTCTTTCGATAGTGGAAGACCGACTGCTGCCGCTACCCGCATATCGATACCACGGTTCCTCGATAACTAAGGATTCCCTCCATTTTTGTGTTCTAATTTGAGAATCCTTCCGGATATTCCCCGCTTTTGCCTTTTTACCTGCCATCCATCCCAGCACACGACCCGATTCATTTTTGCTTTTATCCTTCCATTTACCGTGGCTGAAAGGTTCGTGGGAGGCGACCGGAGCCGGGGGAGGAGGTTCAGGACCTTTAAGGTCAACTGGAGGGACAGTTTCTTCTTCAATTATAGGTGGTTGTTGAGCAGACCAGACGTCCCATCGTTGGGGAAAGCAGCTAATAACAGTGTCTGGGATCCAATCAGTATATCCCCACAAGGATCGATTCCAATTGGCAATACATTACCATCATTGAGTATCCAGAGCCACAATTGATCTACCATAAAGATTTTAGGCTCTGGTGAATTCCTCTCCGTGTATCGGAAGACAACTTGACTACTGTCCCTCGCGGCAGTGGTTGAGAGATGGGTGTAGAAGTATTGGTCAAGAGTTCTTCTGAGTTGGAGAGGGGAGTCTGTAGGGTTCGAGGGTAATAAGTATCCTTTCACGAGATGCTCGTCGAAGGGTATCCGCCGTTTTGCGGGCTCAGGTTTTGTATCCTGTTTCACGGTCGTATTTGCTGCCCCTCCACGAGGTTCGGCTGCTGTGGAACCTTCTTCGATTATATCGACCATATTTCCTCGATTTGTGTCACTTGTGTTAATTCTAGAGGCCATTCGGATTTGTTCGATTCTCTGACCATCAGCCCTCCGAGGAATTCTGCCATGGTTTGCGCTGGAGTTTGTAGCGGTCGGTGTATCTAAGGTGTCTTTTGCTTTTCCCCAATGGACTTTATGTGTCGGGATATCCTGTGATTTCTGAGCCATCGAGTTTGTGCTTTCTGCTAAGGAGTTATCTGTGTTCCTCCTTCTAACAGTGGGGTGTGATGAAAGCAAGTTTTCCGAGTTTACGGAATTTCCGGTGTCTCTTCTTACGCTGATCGTTGGAATATGTACGTTTTCCGTATCTAGAGAGCTCCCAGTGTTCATTCTTGGGATATCAATGAGTGGAGGCTGTAAAATTTCTGTGTTAACCGAGTGTTCAGTATCCCTTCCAACTACGCCGACGTTTGTAAGTGGTGGATTCTCCGTCTTATTCTCCTTTAATTTGAATCCAGGTTTTGGTACCTCTTTCGGCAGTATCCTTCCGCTAGGTTCGCCACTTTTGTCGACAGCGATAGTTTGAGGCTCCTTTTTCTCCTCCTGGCTTGTTTGAGTTGGCTTATTTGCGCCATCGTCGGTGTCCTTTTTCTCATCCTGGATGCTTGTAGTAGCTCTTCCTTGCTCTAGGTCTTCCTGATGGCCTGGTGACAATCGTAACATCTTCGCAACTTGACTTGATCTTTGCCGAACTTTATCACCGAAGTTACGGAAAGAAGACAGGAGAGCCCCGCCTCCGTGTAGAATATGTCGAAAGCGCGAGGACTCTTCGACATCCCCTGACATGGAGTTGGATTCGCTGGAAACGGAATCAACCGATTCGGAATCGACCGGCTTAGTTTCATCTTTTCGTCGTGGAGAGCGGGTCACCCGTGGCTTATATCTTTTCTTGGGGGCGTGAGATGGTGCTTTTATCAGCTGAAGCTGACTACCATGCAGAGCTCGTTCTTTTTCGTCTTTAAGAAAATCGGCCATTCGTTTATAACCGTTATGGGTTTCAAAATGGAGAAACGGAATATGCAAAACGGTTAACCTATGAATTGAAATACCGTATCAATCATCCGACTTACAAATAACATGATTTGTTCTGCTTTGTCATTGCCTAAAGAGGAGCCCAGAGACTGTTGTCCACACATTAGCAACGAGAGAGACGTTTTATGGGCGGAAATGATGTACTTTGACAGTTCGACAAAGGGGCCTCATGTAAGAGGAGTGAGTTGCGGTAGCCCGATATTGCTGACCGATGGAATTGGTTAATGCGAGTTTCGATTTTGACTCTTCGCTCAATATTACAGCCTCTGGATCTCGTTCACCGAAATGTCGGCTTACTAGAATCTATTGGATATTAGTGCCTCATTTCATTTGTTTAATTTTCATTTTATTTTGGGGTATTATGAGGACGAAATTCATACCTCCACCCATTCCATCTAAAATGAAGTTAGGTCACAGCCTTGTTGCACTCATTTGGGGGGACTAACTCACATTATTTGCGGGCAGGTGATACCACCTAAAACTGCGTTGCCTATCCATCCTCTTCTCCTTTGCAGAATTCATTATAGCTTCTGCTCCTTTTCCATAGAGCATGTCGTACACTGACATTGTCTTCTCAATTCGCTGCTCAGTTCCTTCAACAAAGAAATCAATAACGGTGCCTTCAAATCCCCGACAACAACTTAATTTATCGATCTGATCATCCGGAAGGACTGGCGCCGTGTATTGAATCTGCGGTTTGGCCTTCCGATTTTCAACTGACGGACCTTGCAGTACGCGGTCCGATCGAAGCAATTCCATCATGGGGGAACCTTCGATCGCCAAGTCCTCCACCGTTTGGCCATTGTCATCTCGTAGATACTTATTAGCACCATTCTCGAGCAAGAACTCCACGATATCCAAATGGCCATGGATAACAGCGTTGAACAATGGAGTAGATCTATATGGAGTCAATGTGTCGATATCCGCTCTGTTTTCGAGAAGTACCTTCGCAACATCCGCGTGCCCATTAAGAAGTGCTTGATAAAATGCCGTATATTCCGTTTCCTCATTAAAAGACTCCACATCGGCATTGAATCGTAGTAAAAGCTTGACCAATGTTAGATTCCCTAACTCAGCGGCTATATGTAGCGGTTTGCTTCCGTTGTAGTCTGCAGTTTCGGTGTTAGAGCCGGCTTTGAGCAGGAGTTCTACCAGCAGCTCATAATCATTAATCACCGCTAGGTGAAGAGCTGTACGTCCATTGTCGTCTTTGGCTCTCAGATCAACGCCTTTGTCAAGCAGGAGCCGCAGCTCGTCTTCGTTTCCTTCGCTCGCGACCTCAAGAACTCGCAGACTCTGTGAGTCAAAGTGGGGTTGTGCCTCATCCTGAGGATAAGGATTGGTTGTAGGATCTAGATCGGCATCTTCGTGCTCATTGCCCAAAGGTTCACGGTCGCCATCCATTTTGAAAGTCAGTTATTTGAGGGATTTCATTTTCAGAAGGAAGAAAGAATTTCGACGTTCTTCTGTATGAGGTGGAGCTTCATTTTGGGACTATATCAAGTTAAAATCTATCCGGCAGATGGTTCATGCTAATGATCCTGGCAGGAGGATCAGGCTATCTCCGTTCTTCTATGGCTTGCTGTAAAGTAACCAGAGGTCCAGAGACCCACATCCCCATTGGCCTATGCTTGAATTCTCAACACTTTGATAGAGGGGAATATTAATAGCTGGCAGCTGCTGATTTGATGAGATCCAAAAATCTGCACCCACCCTTGGCGAATTTTCGAAATATATAACGGACATTATGATCGCCCCGAATTCTTTGCACATCATTTCACAAAGCATAAAAAGGCAGCCATGGCAGCATGGCGGACCCTTCATGATTATATATTGCTCATTTATTTTAGAAGTATTTAATAAGTGTTTTTTGCGTAAAGCGTGGGAAGACTTGTGGTTGAAGGAGCACCGAAATAGCCTTATTTATGGGTAACTATCTACGAGTATACCTAAGTATTTAGGGAGTGAAGGCAAGGTGGAAACCTGAGGGCATATTGATCACCAATAGTTACTGTAAAGTTATTCTTGGAAGTTCGAATGAGGGAATTTATTAGGAAACAAAGAGCTTAATTTCTATGCCACAGAGAGCAATCTCAACAAGAGTAAGATTCATCAAGTTGTACCAAGTGTACGGAGTATTAGTTAAATAAGGGGTTAAATTGGGGCCATCCAACCAGCGGCCGCCTTGGTCTCTCCACCGAAATGTGTCAGCGCTTCACCGCGATTTATTAAGTTGTCCAACTCATCTCCAACATAGTCGACCATAACAATAATTTCTTACCTGCCATGATTCTCTGTTTGAAACTATCCCCATATTAACTGATTATCCGAACTATCTGAAGGAAAAGAGGAGGGTCTATATAGCACAATGGCCGAAGCAGCAGGAGTTTACCCACCGCTCGAGGCCAGGCCGCTCAAAGGCACCATCTGCCTGTTTGATGTCGATAAGACTCTAACACCAGCCAGAGGAGTGCGTGGCATATTCTTCCCTTATTGTTCTCCTTTTTTTTTTTTTTTTTTTTTTTTTTTTTTTTTTTTTTTCATTTTCTCTTTTTGGCTCCAGTTGTTCGGTTTCCATGAAACAGAAACCTTTGCATTTTGGAAACGAATGCTTACACTACTTGTTTTGTGTAGACTGTCGCCCCCGAGATGCTGCAGCTGCTCTCGCAATTAAGGCATAAATGCGCCATTGGATTCGTGAGTTACGCCTCATCCCCATGTTCTTGGGTTATCCGGAAGCAATTACTTTCCGCATTAGTGACCCAATATCCTAAACGCACGAAAATTCTCTAGGTCGGCGGATCCAATCTAGCCAAACAACAAGAACAGTTAGGCACCCAAACAACTGATGTTACTACGCTCTTCGACTTCTGCTTCGCGGAAAATGGCCTTACAGCGTATCGACTTGGGAATCCCATGTCATCCAACAGCTTCATCAAGTGGCTAGGCGAAGAGAAGTACCAGAACCTCATTGATTATTGCTTGCGGTACATTTCTAGCGTGAAGCTTCCGAGGAAGAGAGGGACCTTTGTGGAATACAGAAATGGAATGGTCAATATTAGTCCTGTGGGGAGAAGCGCAAGCGTGGAAGAGAGGAACGAATTTGAGGAGTATGTTGTCTCCTTTGCTGTGACCCAGATGCTGGCTTCACGTGGTGTTCCTGAGATATTAATCCACCGAAATAGGTTTGATAAGGTACACAACATCCGGAAGAACCTCGTTGAGGCTCTGAGGAAAGAATTCGCCGACTATGGCCTCACGTAAGTTCTCACTTTAACTCATCGCACACGACTCCTTCATTACGAGACTTTAAGGGACTCCATTTGAATCCCATTGACTTACTTCGTTAACACGTGCTTCCACACAGCTTCTCCATTGGCGGGCAAATCTCCTTCGACGTCTTCCCTACCGGTTGGGATAAAACTTACTGTCTACAACACGTTGAGGCGGAGAAAAATATTAGCGGTGTCGATTACACCACCATCCATTTTTTCGGTGACAAATGCTTCAAAGGAGGAAACGATCATGAAATTTACGAGGATTCCCGGACGATTGGCCATGAGGTTACAGGTCCGGATGATACAATGAGACAATTGAAGGAACTATTCAATCTGTGAATTGATACGGGTTGAGGGCAGGGAGAAAGGGTTCCAAGCAGCGAAGGAACAGTCCCACGCAGACGCCGGATTTCTGCTACAACGTATTGGTGATGATTTAGTGAATGGCATTCGGATTTTCTTTCAAACTTTTTTGATGTGGTGTTTGTTGAGATGGGAAGCATTATCTATGCCCTGGTAATTGTGGCTGGGACTTTTTGCATCTTGAAGCGCTAGCGGATACCACAAAAGCTGACATTTCAATAACGATGGAGAGATGTTCCGTATAGACGGGATCGTTAATATAACAGGCAATAATTGTCTTGAATACCCTCCCACTTCAACATCCTAATGAACTGCTAAAACAAGCGCTCAGTTTTTCCTCGATCACCAATCAGGAGCGTTCAGAATAGCATTTATCGAAGTTTAACAATCCTCAATGGGGGAATTCTTATCCAAATTGATATCAAGGCTGGTGAAGAGTATAACTATGGGCTGGGTATCATATCCAGATACCATTGACCTATTAAAAACACTTGTCCTCATAATTTGGCGCTTCTCAGCAGATAAGGTTGGTGGGGATGGTAGATCTCGTATTGGAAGGATACACGGTACGCGGAATCATGCATTGGGCGGCAGGTTCACCTACGCGCTTATCACATGATATCCCGAAATCTCGGCTTTCACAGGCTCCGATATTCAACAAATCGACAAACTTTCAACATCTTCGCTGTTCTGGGATCTCCATTTTGGTTGTTACCACGACTCCGGCCTCTTTTATCATGAATACGGCTCTTGGTAGTGGCCGTAGCTAATACGTACAACCCTATCCGACTCCATTCTATCATCTACCCGGACCTCCATGGCGAACTCGAAGCAGGTTATCAATCTCCCTCGCTTCCCTGCCCAACCCATAACCTGGAATGCGTCATCTTCCATCACCAATTCGCTCTTGGTGACAGCCAGACCCACTGCTGGACTGTCTCTGCATCTATATGCTTCAAAACAGCCACCACAAGCAGTTTCCAACCGATCCCTACCCACCTCTCTGGCATATCCCCTATACAGCCCCCCATCGTTACTCTCGAGATCCTACTTTACGTCCGCGACCAAGCCACTCCCCTCAACCACCACTCTCCATGACACCTCCTCCTCTCCAATTAGGCATGATGGCGTATGCGTCGCAATATTCAAGCCCGCCCGCCGCGCCTTTCACAACACTCCAGCCAACCAGAGAGATCACCATTTCGATACACTCAAGATTGTCCAGCGACTCAAGCGCGAAGGGTTTAGCGAGGAGCAGGCAGTAGCTTTAATGAAAGTTCTGAATGATGTGATAGAAGAGTCGATTCAAAATTTGAAGCGAACTATGGTTCTAAGAGAGGGTACGGTTTCCCCCCCTTTTCCCGTTCTACAACTACCGACCTCTATGCCCCTGTAACAGCCCATGATTCTAACCTTTCTACTCGTTTTCAAAACAGATTCCGAACGTTTGACATATACTCAAAAGGTTGACTTTGCTAAACTTCGTTCCGAACTCTTAAATTCCGACTCAACTGAAGCTCAACTAACCCGCGCATCCCACGATCGAATTGCGGGCGATATCCAGAAGCTAAACTCCCGCCTCCGCGACGAAATAGGGCGTACACAGGCGTCCGTGAGACTAGATTTGAACCTGGAAAAGGGCCGGATTCGAGAAGAGGCAAACGGGCAGGAGATGAGAATCAAGGAGACAGAAACCAGAATTGAGCAGGAAGTTGCTGGGCTAAGGGAGAGAGTTGAAGCCGTGAAGTTTTCGACTTTGCAATGGCTAATGTATTATCACCCAACCCGCATTTGTTTGATCCTGCTTTCTCACGGTTCCTTACTAATTATGAAAATTTTGTTTGTACAGGGGTGTCTGCACGGGTACCGCTGCCCTCATTTTGGGTGCTTGGCGCCTATTAATGTGATGGAGACCTTCGATCTTCCAGATCAAAGATGGGAAACACATCCCAAATTTTAACTTCTAAGAATAATAGGAGTGACGAGGTCTCAAGAATCCCAGCTTGAAAGATGGAGGAATGGAGATACCATTTCTCACAACAATCTTGGAACATCAGCATTACCAGCAAACAGATGAGGTCTTCTGTGCATGCTTGACAAGTAAATATTTTTGGTTCCCCAATAATGTATATTATGAACTCAAACAAAGCACATACCAAGTGTATGCAGTGCAGTTGATAAATGTTCTTTCTAGGCCATAGCCTCCTTGTCATCAGGGCCTCTGATTCTTTTCCTTAGCCCTCGAATCTCATTCTTTTTTGATTCTTTTGCTCCTCGCAATTTGCGCTGTTTTGCCAATGTCTGTTGTCCAAGCGAACCCCCTCCCATAACCTCACAGCATCCTCGCAGAAATGACTCAATCGCAACCAATGGAACCCCATGCCTCATACCTGTCTCCCCGTCCCATGAAGAATGCAATCCAACCAACCCTCCATCCACCACCCGCAAAAGCGGAGCGCCCGAATGACCCCAATAAGTCCAGGCATCATGCTTTAATGTTCCAATTTCTGAATTATCACACAGATCTACACCAGGTGTTGTACCACGCAACGCACCCCGGGATACTTCTATAAGATTATATTCGGTTTTACGGGCAGTTGCGGACTCCAGATCCTCGCTTCCGGGCTGACCGATGCATATGATCGGAGTTTTTACTGTGGATTTACCAGGACAAAGCGTGACAAACGGGAACGAAGCTCCCATTGCAGCACTCCCATCCACATATGCGCCTGCAGCATCAGACTCCGCAGCGACGATCTTCAGAAGAGCAAGGTCCCGCTTCGCGTCCCAAACGCGGCACTCGGCCAGAACAGCCTGCCCGTCGTAAAAAAGCAGCCAGCGTGTTTTGGAAGAAGTACTGTAGTCTTCATACGTGTCGCCGAAACAATGGGCACAGGTAATCACCCAGCCTGCCGGGTCTATACAAACTGCGCTTCCTGCTTCATGCTGTGCAAATATCAGGCTGGCTGCGAGCGCATTTTGGAGATGCGCGTCTGGTAATGATGCGCGGGTACTTGGCGCATCGAGAGATAGGCGGTCTTGTTTTTTGCGAAGGAGTTTTAGATCCGTGGGTGAGAGGTTGGGGAGGTTTGAGCCTCGGGTGATTTTCTCTATTAAATTTTTAGGACTTTGGGGGATTGGGGCGTTGGAAATGCTGATAGATGGGGCAGTACTGGGTATTGATGAGGGGTGGGCTTGTTGCCGTGTGGATGGTCTTAGATTTAGTCTACGTGTGGTACTCGACATAATCGACGATGTTAATGAGATTTCAACGGATGCTCATACTATTTTCCCGATATATATCAGCATTATTTGAGATGTTGCGCTTGACAACCCCTCAAGGATTAGTCAAAATGACAAATAGCAGCCAACAAATCTCCTATTAGGGTTAGGCACCTGGGCAGAAGCCGTTGGGTATGATTAACTCGTTATCAGGTGACTTAACCATGTATATAATCCGGGTCAATTCCAAGTTTTCCAGCGTTGAAGCTTTCATCAAATTGTTCTCCGATATGCCGTACTTATGTACTTCAAGTAAACTTGAAAGTACTAAAAATGGTTTATTGTCTACGATGATTGAGGTTGTTCTGACAAGCACAAGATCTCGGTTTTCAAATTAAACCAACTTTGATAATAACTAGGTTATATCGAACATAGTATCGGTATGTCTACATTTCTGCTTCAATACTAAGAGAATACGTAGCAACTAGGTCTAATTTATACAGAGGTGTGGGTGACGCTAGTGTAAGCGAGAAATAAAAGGAAAGATCAACAGGTCACTCCATACAGGGCAGATCAATATCCATCAATAAAGCCCTTTGCAATGGATATCAATTCACTGCCCTTCCCGAGTGAGAAGGGCACAACGCATCACAACTCTGAAAGCGTGAGCCTCATAACATCGGTTCGAAAGAATGGACCCCGACATTCCAAGGGCACAGTCTGCATTTTCGCGGTATTCCTTGTACTTTTCTATAGATTTATCGTCCTCCCCCACTCAGTGATACCGGGGAAATGGAGTTCTCAGACCAATAGGACACAGCTCCAAGTATTTCAGATATACAAACCACTCCCCGGTGGTCCACCGAACAATGACCCATCAGAGGGATGCAATAGGGAACTTTTATTGATGAAACATGAGTTTGGGTTTAGCTATGGACATCCTTTTGTTGGTAAGTTTTTTTTTTTTTTTTTTTTTTTTTTTTTTTATTTATTTATTTATTTAATTTTTTTTCAAATAATCTAGACCGAGAATGGAAACGTCCAGTGCCAGTTCATTGATATATATCTACAAAGGAAACTATGTGCCTCCTAAGTGCGATTTTGACACTGTGATTATGAACCTGACGGTCACATCCAAAGGTCGCCAGTTTGATAGATTAGCACTTATGTTTCTCGGTGATACTGAGGTTTTCCGCACGTCAACCGCTGAGCCTACGCCAAATGGGATTGTTTGGACATATCTCAAGGACGTGTCCCTTTACAAGGCTCTGTGGATGGAACCTCAAAAACTTATCTTCGATCTCGGGAACCTAATCGATGAAACTTACACAGGTCCCTTTAACGTATCACTGACAGCAGCGTATTCGTTAAGAAATCGTGACATCAGAACGGCAGATGTTATTCTTCCTATTTCCGCACAGCGCTCAGAGGTAGGCTTACCGAGCGCGTTCAACCTTCCAGATAGCAATGCGAGTGTCATACACAGTATACCTGACGATGCCTACCGGGCAGTTGTATCCATATCCGCCTGTGGTCAATCTACTGAGGAATTTTGGTACACGAACGTCCTCTCGTCAGACACTTATACTTTTAATCAAACAACTGGACCTTTATATGGATATTCCCCTTTTCGCGAAGTTCAACTGCTCATCGACGGTCAATTAGCGGGAGTTGTATGGCCCTTCCCAATTATTTTCACGGGAGGGATTGCTCCCGGTTTCTGGAGACCTATTGTCGGGATTGATGCTTTTGATTTGCGAGAGCCAGAGATTGATATTACTCCATTTTTACCTGTATTAGCAGATGGTCAACCGCATTCCTTCAGGATTAATGTTGTTGGTCTAGGGGACGTCAAGGACGGTGAAGCAGAGGTGTCACCACAAGTTGGGTCCTATTGGGTGGTGACCGGGAAGATTTTCATCTATCTCGACGAAGAATCTGCAACGAAGCGAAGTATGATATCTCCACAGGACAACTCTATTCCCGTTGTTTCGACGCAGATGAAATCTAATATCACGCATGAGTGGACGCAGAATCCCCGGACGGGTGCCAATGAAACTCTTTCGTACACAGTCCAAGTATATAGGTCATTATCCGTCATCTCACCTTCCTCATCTTGGACTCAAAACCTCGCATTTTCAAACTCCGGGTCGTTTTCCAAGCGAGGCAGGGCTCAATTAAGTAAGCAGAGGACAGATTCTACATCAAAATCACTTGATTCAGCCTACGGAAGCAACATCACTGTCAGTGAAACAGCCAGCTCTTATCCACTGGAAGTCCACTCAATATATTGGTCCACCACTAGTGGTTTAGAAATCCAAGCTTCTTTATCTCGCGGTTTAAAATTTACATATCAGACTGACCTTGACTATTACTCCCCGTACACTCTCACAACCGGCTCATCGCAATGCGATGCAACGCAGTTTGGCGAGGCGACATATAAATCTATGCATGGCAGATCGTGGTCCACAGGGAACACTACAGAAATTTTCAAAGAAAGCTCTTGGGTGGAAACATACGGCGTACGAGTTAAGGCAATTAATGGCACTGTTATTGACGCACATATACAACCCACATTGTCCTCCCGGCCTCCAGGTCAGGAATTCTCCCCGGGTAGAGACAGCGTTAGGGCGATGCTAGGAAGGGGACCAGGCAGAAGCAAACCTTGAGTTTCCTTATATGGGGTTACGCAAGTGGAACTCAAGGCAGAACGCTTGGTTGTCCGTCCTGGGTGTTGACAGTATTGAGATCCGTTGAAACCCGGACTCTGCTACACTACATTAACGTAAATGAAGTCATCGATCGTCATCTCAATGATGCTCATCACTTTTCTTGACTTTTCTCCTTCCTTCAGAGCAAGCAGGCATACGTTTGTCGAGGTGCACTCCCGCCTCTAAGGGCAATATTACCTTTTTATTAGTTAGTTAACTATTTAATTACCATTACAAATGAACACACAAACTCTAATGAAGAAGCTCAGGATAGCGCTGCTTATGCAGGTCGGCGAAAATGATTGGATTTTTGACCGGTGACAAGAGCCCGCTTCGGAACTGGGGAAAAGAGGCTAAACGACTAACTCCGGAAAAATTGGCATGTGGGTGGGTTCCAGTAATCCTTTGAAACCTTCCCAGGGTTCTTGTGGTCGGGACACGCGGTCATATCTCAGATGTCTAGGAAGAGTGCTTTCTTCGGCATATATGGAACAATAGTGGAGAATTCATTCGTTCGCATGTTTCAATTTCCAGCAAAACGACCTCGTGAACGGACTAAAATATCCCGAGTCACAAAAGCAAATCGAAATTTTCGGCGAGTTTTGCCTCGTTCGCATCATCATTTCACTTGAGCCGGTAAGGCGGCCCACTCCTCAGAATCTATCGCCGTGCTTCAAATGCGGACTCTATGATTGGTAAATACGGATGGTGCTCTATTACCATTTCTACCGCAATGGCAATTTGAACCGTTGAGCAAACCAATTTTCTATCATCCAAGACTACTTTCGCTGGGCAAGTGACATATATTTTCAAAGTTCACACCGCCGCAGGAAAGCTCTTTTATCTAGCAACACAGGATAAGTTTTGCCCTTAGGACTTTTCCTGCACTTGGTGGATTTGCCTTCCGGAACAACAGGAATCAGCCATTGGCCGCTCTGAGACTTTTATGAAAACTGGCCGTTCAGCTGTTTGCAGGGCTTTCGTCGAGACACCAGCCCCACATATCTTGGCGGGAAAATCACAGGGGAGGAGGCTTGTTCGATTTACACTCTCAACTCTGGAAGAAAAAAACTTATTTTGCTCCAGGCCTTCTCAAAAAAAAGGATCATAATACTCCTTTTCTCCCTGTGGTACTCGTGTGTGCGGGAATGATAATACAGCTGTTGAAATCTGGAGTTTTGACACATTTTCTTCCCCACAGCCCTCTCACCTTCGAATTGAGTAGCACGAAGTTAGTAACTACAGGCTATCATTGGACAAATCAATCTTCGGACTTTAATCTTCCCATCCTTTTGATGGAATCGCGCCAACTACAAGTAGCGAGAACTCATGGCCCTGCTTGGTCGCACACCAAATTTACTGCGTGCTCGGATCTCGGTCATAAATCCTGACATTTATCGCCACTAGGGGATTACCAACCAACCAGCCAGGCTAAGCCAGCCGGGTGAATTTGACCTTCTTCCCGTGTCAGGCCAATCATTGTGAGGATCCACGGAGTCAAGGCGCAGCACGCCATGAGAGCGAATTACGGGGTTAAAAAGCAGGCTAAAAAAACCCCCCGCCATCAATCCCTTTAGTCGAAGAGCTCTGTGCTTCCCCAGTCCCTTGTGTTATGGGAGGAAACAGAAAACATCAACCATTTCCGTCAGCTCATTTCATTTCGATCATATCCCAGGCTGCTATGGAGACAATAACTACTGCGCCGAATGCACATCTGCAAAGGAAAAGAAAGGCTGATGACAATGGTCATCTTAACACTAAAAAGCCAGCTCAAAAGAGAGCTTCAGCAGCATGCCGCAGCTGTCGTGCTCGGAAAGTTCGTTGTGATGTGCTCATAAAAAACATCCCTTGCACGAATTGCCGCTTGGATGGAGGAGAATGCGCCATTGCAGAGAGCAAGCGGACAAAATTCGCTCGCACGGCGGATGGCACAACGCTCCTTACTGGCCAGCTGCAGAGAGATGCGGATGGCAAGGGTTGGAATGCAGGGAATACGATGCCAAGCGAGGAACTCATCAAAATACCGGAGTGTGGGAGTGTTGAGCAAAGTCATGGTACGCAGACCCTCTATTTCCACATTCGAGGAATCAGCTTCAAAAACTGCAGAGACAGTATTTCGATGGCTGACTGTATGTTAAGCTCAAGAGTTTGATACCAATGTGTGTGAATTTCAACAGCAATCTACACCCGATCCAATCCTTGCGCATGACATGGTATTGTCAAACATGTTCTCCATCATGCGCCAGCTCTTTGGCCCTATCCCCGATCCTGTCAATAAACACATGGAAATTGAGCTTCCCCGATACATCAAAC